ATTTTGGGTTTTATTACGCCCACAGTTCTTATTACTTTTTTTTGAAGAGAGTAAAACCAAATGTGACATAACAAAACAGAGTCAGTCAAATCAAAAGGATGGACATAATACATAACGTAAAAACAAAACACAAGGTGATCAACAATGGTTACCATACTGCCTCTTGCTATCTTAAAAAGAATTGCCTATATCATCAGTTATAGTAAAATTGAACAAAACAGTAAAGAATAAAACCAAAACATTGGAGACATTACAGGACTTCAAAAGAAGATAATAGTCAACCAGAATGGGCATTATAATGAATCTTATTGTCTTCACAGTTGTTGCCTATACTTTCGAACTTGGTACTATCAAGCAAAGCAGAATAGGGGAAAATCAGTCAAAACAAGATGGTGAGAGTAATACAGGGTTTCAAATCAAGTTAGTAGGAAATCAAAGTGGGTTATTATAATATAGCCTGCTATTTTTTATTTTTCCCTTAATTAAAAAGATAAAAATAAAAAAGTAAATAATTAAAAAAGGAGATTGAGATAAAAGAGGGCATAACAACAAAACAGCACAGATCAAAACATAACCATTTAAGCAAAATAGTGTTTCACCACAAGATATCCTGACATAAAAGTAGTTACCATAGTGTCTCTTTCCTTGAAATCTTTGAGTATAACTTCGTATACTGTAGCACCAAACATATCAAGACATTGTAAAACCATTCAAGAGAATAACAGTATTACCGGTATTTAGAATCAACTATCAGAAAATGAACAATGGTTTCTGCATAATCTCCTTGTCTATAAAAGTTTTTGTTTATATTATCACATATAACAAAATCCAATAAGATACAACCTGTTAAGACCAATGGAGACAGAAGAATAAAAGCTTGATGGGACTTCAAAACAAAATGATACTGAATCAGCACTAGCTATTATGATGTCGTTTTCTCCAAAATATCTGTTCCTACCATCCAACCTTCTCTGCCTCATTTCTGAGCTCTTTTTCTGTCATTAGTTGTCAGTTTGTCTTCTTCATTTCGCTTTCTGCTCCATTCATTGTGGCCTCTTTGCCACTGATTCTGGAATCTTGGTATTTTTCTTTTTTAGAATATCCTGCAGTATTCTCTGTAAAGTTGAATTGGTGGTTGCAAATTCCACTAGTTCCTCTTTATTCTGGAAGCACCTTGTCTTTCCATCAGTTTCTAGGGACAGTTGTGCAATATATATCAATCTTGGGTGGAGGTTATTATCTTTCAAAGCTAGAATTATTTCCCCCCACGCTCTTCTGATTTGATGCTTTGTGCTGAGAAGTCTGCTGTAATTCTGATGAGTGTTCCCTTGTAAGTGATCTGTTTCTTGTCTCTAATGGCTTTTAACATTCTGTTCTTATACTGGATTTCTGAAATTTTGATTATTATATGCCTGGGTGAGCTCTGTTTGGGTTGTAAGTGGCTGGGGTTCTGTATGCCTCATACATCTGAGTATCTTTACCTTTTGCTAAATTAGGGAAATTCTCTTGGATTATTTCTGTGAATAGCTTTTGTAGTTCATTTGTTTGTGTCCCTACTTCTTCTTTTATGTTCTTAATTCTTAAGTTATAGATCATAGATCCTATCATCTTCTAGCCTTTGTATTATTGCTGCTTGTTTTCTTGTTATTTTTAAGAAGTTTTTCATTTCATGCTCCCACCTTACAAATCTGTCTTCCAGTTCAGATAATCTGTCCTTAGTTTCTTTCAAGCTGTTATGCCAGCTTTTGATAGAGTTTTTAGTTTTCTGGTAATCTCTTTTGAACCTGCTTCATGTATTCTATGTTTTCTCTATTTTCTCCATCAAACAATTCTTCCCTATTCTTCCAGTCCACCATCTGTTTTTTCTTGGGAGGTGCTTAACATTTCTCTAACTGTTCTACTTATATCTTGCTTTAGGTCGTTAAATACTTCACTTTTGAACTCGTCTACGAGGCTCTGGAGATATCGCTTTATGTCTGATGGTGCCGTGTCTGATATTGCATGTTTTCTGTCCTCATTCTCCTTTGTATTTACCTTTCCTGGATCAGTGTTCTCAGGATTGGAGATTGAGGACCCTTTCTTGTCACTCCCTCTTCCCATACTTTTTGTTCCTTCCATACAAGCGTATATAGGAGGCCCAGTTTTTTTCTTTGTCTATTACAGTTTGTTTGAATTGTGCTGGCCAGGTGTTTCCACCCACTGCAGTGTACTGGAGAGACACAGGCCTGGGCAGCCTCTGCTGGGCCCGCCCCTCCAGGTCAGTCAACCTACTGAAGGCTTCCTGCTAGGGTGCACTGCCAGGCGCTGGGACCTGGTTTGGGCTAGCCTACTGCATCTTAGTCAACAGCGTCACCCAGGCCAAGCGCTCTGCACCAATCCCGTTTGAGAGGGGAATATGCAACTGAAGTCACTGCAACGCCCTATTCTGGCTTGTCTGCCTGGTCCCAGAATGTCCTCTTTTGGAGCCTCCTAGTCTATGGAAGGTTCCCCATTCCTCTCACTCACCGCAGGTCGATGCAGAGCTCCCTGCCAGTCCTGCTCTCAACTCCATTCGCCGATTCCTGCTCTCAGAGCTTTCGTGCATCTCTCTCCCTGTTGTGCCGATTTGGACACAGCAGCAGCAGCAGGAAATTCAAATCGTGGCTTTCAGAGGCATGGCTTCCAGCTTCTATGCTGAGATTTTATCTGTTCCAGTAATAGCACTGGACTGCATTTCCAGTTGGTTTCTCTCAGCTTAGTTCATTCCTGGGTGGGCAGGGTATATCTCCCCTTGCTTAGGATTCCTCACGCTGCACCATTCCTGGATTCTAAGCTGGATATCTCAGAGAGCCTCCATAGCTGCTGTTATCTATCTGCCATGTTCTCCTGGAGGTCCCCATTTCTGTCTTTAAAAAAAAGTTTTTTTAGATTTCTCATATGAGAAAAGAGATAGAATATTGACTTCATGAGCCTGGTTTGTTTCATTTAACATGGTGACCCGCAAATTACCTGATATTTGTTCTTCATTGCTTAGTAATATTCCATTGTGTATATATACTACATTTTCTTTTTCCATTTTCTGTAGATGGGCAACCTAGGTTGTTTCTGTAACTTAGCTAGTGTGAACTGCATAAGCTAAGCTACACTCATGGGTACTCAGGTATCTATATAGGATGTTGACTTTAATTTCAAGAATATACTAACAAATGGTATAGATGCATCAAATTGTAGCTTATTTTTTAGTTTTTTGAGAACACTGATTCCCATAATGACTATAATAATTTATAATCCCACCAATAGAATAGAAAAGTTCCTTATTCAACCAACTCACCATTTGTTGTTTTTTGAAGTCTTAGTGCTAATCATTCTGACTGGAGTTAGATGGAAATTAATGGTAGTTTAAGTTGCCCTTCTCTAGTGGCTAAAGATGGTAATCATTTTTTAATATACTTATTAGCCATTTATACTTTTAAGAAATGTCTGTGCATTGGCCCATTTACTAAGTGTATTATTTGATTTTTGGTACTGATTTCTTATCTTACTGCAAGCACATCTAAAGTGCATGACTCTCACCATTCTGCAACCCTACACAGGTATTATTTGAAGAGTTACACAATATCCAGCCTTTGACAAATGATGAGTGAGCCATCTTCCTGTTGGCAGGGATCTAATCCATATTTTTTTCATTGGGAACTATGAGAATTTATTAGTTTATTTGAAAGATACCTTATTCTTCATCCATACCTCAGGCTTATTTGAATGGATGAGATGTGATCTTAGTAGATTTTCAAGCTTAACCTATCAGGCATATAAATGTGTCCTATTTGCATTTAAAACATAACTACATTTTGAGAGTTATCTAACAAATACACTGCCTTCCCATCTTGACGTGCCTTAAAACTTAAGCAATAAAAGTTTATTTTTACAAGTTATAATACACATAGTACATAGTAAATCATACAGATACAAATTTTGTGCATGAACATGTACCACCAAATTATTGTGGGATTCTACTATCCTTTATTGTCTTTTTCTGTGTTGGCATGTGAACACGTGTATATTTGTATGTATGTTTTGTAGTTCTTGAAATACTTTAAAATTATACTTTTAAATTAAAAAATTTAGGTAACTGGTAACAATTCACCAGTCACTCACAAATCCAAACTAAAAAGTAGACAGGAAGATAGAGAATGAGAATCTGATTTCTCATCATTGTAAGACCTTCAGTAGGTGCTCTTCCAAGACTTCAGAGTGAACCTTATAGAGTCTTATGTTTTCTTATCCTTGCCAAGATCTCTAAAGGAGAGCCCTAACTATGGAAATTTTTAGTTTCCTATAAACCTAAGGTTCCAGTTTTATGCAACTATGAATAAAAGGGTATGCTATATACTTTAAATATTATCACACAAGCCTGAAATAATGTTATTTTAATACTGTCCACAGGATTGTTTTTCTTTCTTTGGTGAAGAATTGACCCATCCACAAATTAGGGTACCATAGATGAATACACAATGCATTAGAGAAATCAATCTAGTTATAATCTTTTAAAGGTTTGAATAAATACAAACAAATTTGTGGGATTTAGGAAGACTATCAGAAAGCTTTATAGCACATGTTAACTGAGATAATCTGTAACTGATGAACTTACAAGTCAGTTTTATTTCTGTTTTACCAATATTTTCCGTAATGATCAAGACAAGAGAAAAGGAAATTAAAAAAAGAAAATCAAAAATAAAACAGATTAGAAGAACTTCTAAGCATGATGGGACATGGGAGGGAAGTAGAGAGAATGAACCAGAGCCATGGAAAAAATTTCTTGTTGGTATTTGGGAAAGGGGTGGAGCTGAGACCACAGACTTATGAGCTGAATAATAGCTTAAGGGGAATAAAAGCCTGATGTAACATGCAGAATGCAACCTGTTAAGAGTAAGTACACTGGCAAAGAACTACAGGGAACAATAAGTGGGAGTAGTATCTAGAAAAAGGCTGGAACACCCAGTGCAACAGAAGCAAAGTCCAGGATGTCCAGTCTGCTCTGGTCCCACCTGCCAGTGGTCTGGTTAATGTTGAGTCATCTCCTCAGAGAAAGCTCCACTGAATGGACAAATGATGAAAAAATTAAGTTATGTGGCAATGAATTTGATGAGGCTCTTATGACCTTATGCTTGGAACCTGAAAAGAAAATCTCCAAAGTCCAAGTGGACCAGCTAGAAGAATCTGGATCACTCACAAGTAAGAGCCCCCACAAACTGCTTTTCTGTGTGCCCCATTTATGGTCCTCAGGGTGAACAATGAGAACACAGAAAGGCTGGCACAACCCCACTGGAGACTATATTGGCTGCAGGTCCTGAGCCTACTGTATGTTGTAGCTAGTGCCTAACTTTGACCTTTTTCTTTGTAGCTTGCTTGTATACAAAGCATCTGACTTGGAATCTCCCAAGAGGGAGGCAAAAATGGGGCAAAAGTTGCTTGCTCGGTTCCCTTCCTTCTTAGAACTCACAGTAACACAGTAGACGTAAGGCAGGAGCCACAGAGGAAACAGCCTCCTAAGGCCTGCGATAGGTAGAGTACATCCCTGTGTTCCTTTAGAAAATTGGGGCAATGACACAGTAGGCCAGCTGTTTCCAGAAACCCAAAAGGGTTATCTCCTACTGACAGGAAAGGAATCAGTCAAGCGGTGGAAGAGTTACCATGCTTGTTTGTGCACTGAAGAGCAAGGAACGGCATCCTCCGTCTTCTGTTGAGGTCACAGAATGGGTGACAAGAAAGGTCTTGAATTGAATGATTCTTCCTTGTCAATATTCTGGTCTGTGGTCTATACCATGGAGAACATATTTTTTCTTTTTCTTTTCTTTTCTTTTTTTTTTTTAATGCAACCTAAGGAAGTATCACTGCTTCCCAAATCTTTGAATTAGGTGTTGTAGCTCCACTGAGAGAAAGTACAGCAGAGAAAGGAAAGTATCTGTGTAATTTAAACACTGAAAGGGACAAATTTGCTCTTTAGATTATCATTGCTGAAAATTTGATTAACACTTTCAAGCCTTTGAAGGTTTATCTCTTTTTTCTTTAAGTGTAAACTCAAAACCAAGGACATCCCAGTTCCAGAAGACTTTCTAACTTCTTACATTTTTAAAGAGTATTCCTGAACTATAAGCTACCTTAGAACTAGCAAGAGTGGCTTTCAAGATAGAGGCTATTCTGTTCAGTCTAGTGGATCATGTTAAATTCTAAAAAGCCACAGCAAGTTACCAATCATCGTTTCCCTTTAATAAAAATGACACAGGTTCTGCATTAATGTGTGAATTCAGAACCACATTTTAAAAACTATATGCAAACTCTACATTAAACCACTAACTTAACACTATGTAAATCCATTTTATGGAAATTACGGCAAGATTTCAAAGTTGTTTCTTTTTTTTGACACTGTGGCCAAAGTTTGATTTTACTATAAAATGAAGGAAGAATACAATGAAGAAATTTTCTAATGGAAATTAAAGAACATATTATACTATTGTTTTGGTTTAAATTTCACCTTTTGTGAGTAAATTAATTAAAATGCTCATAAAACCTGAAAAATGTTGATAAATATAATAAAAATGAAACATACTTATGGATATCTAAAGTAATATCTAGTATAGGTATGAATATGCATGTATATATATTTAGATATATGACTATATAGATTTTTACAATGGGAAATATATTTAGGAATATAACTATATAAATTTTATAATGGAAAATCCGTGGTTATACATTTCCTGATTCTCTTCAGGGCTTGTTTAAATTGAAAGTTATCAATCCAAATAATGTCAAAGAGAGTCAAAAGTAAGTACTTAAAAGGTGATGGGAACAGTTCACAGAAGAGACAGAGAAGTAATCATACCATTGGTTAATAATGCAGCACCTCAAGTTGACCAACTCTAAATCATGTATGTTGTCTACCTGTAAAGAATCTTGCTAGTTCTGTTTGTTTAAAAATCTTGAGGTAAAGGTTATATTTTGGAGTAGGCAAAATTTTATAATTTTCAGATTCTCTTTGATATGAATACTTCCCACATTTTTCTTTTTTTTTAAACATAACAGAAACAGTATCATCCTCTATTGACGAAGATGCAGGAATCTTTGATAGAGTGTCAGAATTCATTCCTAATATGCCAAAGGCCGTAATGTATGAAGGACAGTCACCATTCAAGAAGGACCTCCTTTCCCAGCCAAAGAGAAGTATACGTGATACCATTAAATTATGTTGTGAAGAAGGCTGTAATAAAAAAACTCTTCTTGAAGCATGTATTATATAGTGATTATGGACTTCTTAACTAACTTCATGTGTATTCTCTAGCACATTCAATGATGTTCTGTTTAGTGGCCACTGGTTATTATGAAAGCATATGAAATTCTCATTATTATTTGCATTTCCATTTATTCTATAATATCTTAACTGTACTCTAAAAAATTCTTTTTCTGCTGGAATCACTTTGTCTTTCTTACTAAATAGTAATATTGTTTAATTTTGTTAACTTTATAATGATATTAAAACCTTTATCTCTTTAACTAACAAAATACCAGATACATAAAAAAGTGATTACGTTTGTATGACTTTGTCAACGTAAGCCATATGGATAAAAAATTGCTACTACTGTAATTTTCTACTTTCAATGAATTGGGTTTTGGGAAGAGTGATACTGAAATATTATTCAAAAACATTCTGAGTAAAAAATAAGTAAATCTGAATTTTGAGGTCTAAATGAACCAATGGTTTTTCAAAGAAAGCTGCTTCTATGCTTCTAAAAGAGTCAATAAATGGTTTTACATGATGCAAACATACAGGTTACAGAATAAATAACAATAAAAAAGGAATTAAGTTTGGTAAAGAAAGGTATTCAGATTTACCATTTTAGGATTTATGGAACATCTATCTATGTAAGCAAAATACATTGGGAAATTACAGGAATATTTATCACAATGGTAAATCAGCATGATACAATCTTAAAATTTTATCATTCTCTTCAATCTCTATACCCATACATTCTTAGCCAGCACTTATACAGCAGATGCATTTATAACAATTTAGTCTCCTCCATTAAATTCTGTAAACAGAACTATAGGAAAATGAACCCAGCAGTTCTTATGTCTCAAATCTCAACACATGGCCAATCATAATCAAGAGTCACGATGTCTTCCCCTCAACTTTTCTAGTCACTGAAAAATAAGAAATTAACAGATACAACTGCTTCCAGGATGCTTCCAACATACTTTCATCATGGAATCTTGGCTGCTGCTGTAACTTATTTATACACAGCATTCTAATCAACTGATTCCAGAACTCGTTCTACAGTTTCTTTTCCAATCCTAGTTCTCACCTCATACTTAATAATATTGAGGTGATTCACTCTCATCCAGTGACTCAATTACTTTCATATTCATTATTATACATCACTATTCCTCTAATTTATATGAAAAATGCTACCAAAAGATCAACACTCTGCCTAAGACTTGTGATCTGTATTTTTCTTTTTCCTAACAGACTGATTATGTTCAACATACATGAAGAATCTCAAAGAATGTTCTCTGGTGTACAAGAAATAATCATTTTCTTCTTTTAGCAAATAAACAAATGAAAATTCTGCTGTGTAAAAATCAGCATCAGATATTATTCCCACTAAGATGTGCACTAAACCTGGATCTTAGCATCCTAGCACCAAGACCTTGGACTCCACTGCCCTCAATGGCACTCACAGTAATTCTGTTTGCCAAAATTGGTATCTTTTTCTTTGGACATAATACCGTCTTCCATCCTAAGGTCTTTTAATTCTCCAAGGTGTGGCTACTGAGCAAGGCACAGCAAAACCTCTCTTTCTAGCTTAGATATTGCCAAAGGCATCTGCAGAACCTTTCTCCATCATCAGGCATTTACCAAAAAAAAAAAGGGGGGGAAGTGCAAGTTTATGCATCTCTTGCTTAGAACCCTTCAAAAGCCCAGGAGGTCCAGCAGGCCCAGGCTGACTGCTTGAAGGGAATAGGAGAGTGGGGATTTAAAGCAGAATACTAAAATACAGTGACACTACCTCAGGAGCAGCAGCTAGTACGTAAAATATTTTAAAATGCACATCAACTGCTAATCTAGACTTGTTGTTTTCACTGAATTTTTTTTTATTTCCTATTTTTTTTCCTAAATAAACCTACTGCTCTATAATCTTCTCCTAGCAAATGAAACAGACTTAAAAAAAAAAAAAACTTCATATCTTTCGTGACCTAGGGCCTCCCACTAGTCTCCATCTTCTAAAAGGTTCTACCACTTCCCAATACCAGCAAACTGTGGACCAACTCTTTTAATTATAATCAACTATTGTGGGACACACATCATGCTCAAATCATGGCAGAATGCAAGCAATAATTTACTCTAGTTTAGTATCATAACCACGGGCATTAAAAAAGGACTGAGAAAGTAGTTGTGTTGGGAGGAGTGAGTACGTTTATGATGGAATACCTAACACAAACATCTTAGCCTCTTTTCCTCTGGAGTTCTAATACAGAACCCATACCTGCCTCTTGCTCCCCAAATTTCTAATCTACAGTGCTCCTCTGTAGTCATTTTTTCACTCACACAGAGTGCAACAAATTCCTTCCTCAAAGAGATTGTTTACCCTACAACTGGTTCCTCATGGCTTTCCTTTTTCTCTGTGACACAGGAATTTTAATCATAGAGGCTTTGACTTTCCTTCTACTAACCTGAGCACTCAGTAAATATTTTCAAACTCTGTAGTCAGTCTACCATTTCACCTTCCCTTTATCCCCCAAATACATCACTGTTAGGTGGAATTTCCTTTAGTAGCATGTATTGAATAGCTATTATGTTATCTGCAAATGGTCCCCACAGTCAACTCACAGATCATAGTCTAATGTGTGAAGTCAGCAAGTAAAATGAAAAATAAATGCTGTACTATCAGTAGAAGATCACTGACAATATAATAAAGCCAAAGAAATGGCACTTATTTAATGCCAACATGAAAAGGAAGAAACAATGTAAGAAAAAAGCCTGCAAAACTTCCCAAGTGGAAGCAATGTTTGATTTACACCATGAAACACATTTAAAGAAATTAATGGGCAGACTCAGAAAAAGCACAGAGGACAAAGCACAGTATTATGGAACTGCCCAGAAGTCAGCAGGATAGGAAAGCAAGTAATAGAGGGGAAATTGGCAAGAAGTTGTAAGAGATGAAGACAGAGAGATAGAATCTTCCGTTATTCATTTCAAGCAGGGAATGGAGTTTAAATTTTATCCTGAAGTACTGGGGTACCAGTCATGATCATGATTTGTCTCATAAATAACACTAGCATGACAGGAGAATCTTGGGACTATATGGCATGAACTCTCAGGATTCAGAATATATTGCACTGTCTGCCATAAATTTCTTAGCTTCCCCAAGCTATTCGACATTGTTGAAAATAAAGAAGACACAATATGCTTTACTGACATTAACAATGATCACCCGATAAATTTTTTGGCAGGACAGAGAATTCTGCTTGTTCATTCAGCAAACAATGATTCAGTTCCTCTTACACCACAAGTAGTGTTCTGGGTTTTCAGGAGTGAAAAAACAAATACAATGCTCACACGGACTTCTAACTAGCCACATGATCTTCTCAGCTTTCCTTTGTCAGTGCACTCTGTAAATAATTCTCATAAAAACAAGATGTGAAGAAATAAAGTAGTAAAGAAAGGTCTATAATCTTATACAATATATAAGATTTTTTTTTGTACCAGGGATTGAACTTGTAGATGCGCTTGTGCCACTGAGCTAAAATCCCAGTGCTATGTAAGATTTTTTTTTAAGATTTTCTTGATTTTGGTTTTGGTTTTATTTTGCAAGCAGTAGCATCAGTTGAACCAAGGATTTTATGTGAGTTAAGCAAGGAGTCTGCCACTGAGCTCTATCACCAGGCTGGAATATAAGGTTTTAAACTGCTTACCCAAGAATTGCCTAAAGTTCACTTCCAAGAGGATTTTTATAGGTTGACATTTTCCTTTAATTACAGTTTCATTTTTCTGTGTAAGTCAGCATTAAAATGAAAGTGAAAAGCAAACAGCTTGGAGTGGTTCTTAAGTCCCTGGGTTAGTTTCCTAGGAACAATGCAACCAAGAAGCTACCCTGGGTGGCTTAAAACAAGAAAAATAGGTTCTTGTTCTGGATGCTTAAAGTTGAAGTATACTCTTTGAGGAACACTTCTATCCTTTTCTTAACCTCTGATGAAACGCTAGGATTTCTTAGAGGCAGCCATACATTTTCAGAATTGTCTCCTTTGACATACAGTATTCTGTTCTTCTGTTTTTACATTGCCATTATGAATCGTTCTGTCTTTATATTGCCATTATGCATTTTTCCATTAATTTATGTCTTCTTTAGTATTTTTCAGCAATGAATGTTTTGGAGGTTTCTCCGTAAGCACATTATAAAGTTTTAAACTATTCTAGATTGTATTGAAAATGGCATTGTTCTTCCATTGAATTTTAATACTGATCCTACTGAACATAAGCCTCATCCATCCAACTCTAGTGTGACCTCATTTTAACTACTTACATCTGCAAAAACTTCATATATATAAATGTTCCATTCCATGATACAAGTGTTTTATAATCTGAGTACCTATTTAAGGACATAATTCAATCCATAACTGATCTTGAGGTGAAACCAATAGAGGGCAGCACAGGATGGTTAGAACACATTCATTAACTCTTTTTACCTCCTACTATTTGCAAAACTAAAAGGGGAAAAAAAGAAAAAGAAAAAAACACATCATACCCAAGACATACTATATCTCATAGTTTTGTCAACTACAGCTTTGTAGAAAGTTTTGAAATCACTTGTATCCTCCAACTTTAGTTATTTCTGTCATTGAACTCTTGGCTATGTGGGGAATCTTAACATTCATATTTATATTGGACAGAGTTTTCTGTTTTTTAAAAACATACTGCATAAAATCCTTTAGGATTTTGATGGGGATGACACTGACTTCTTTGAATAGTACTAATTTCTTATCACTATTAAGTCTGGCAGTTCAGGATAACTACATGTATGCAGAAAATTTTTCCATTAATTTATGTCTTTTTTAATATCTTTTGGCAATGCATGTTTTATAGGTTTCTCCTTAAATGTATTCCAAATTAAA